AGAACCGTAATAGTCTTTTGTTGATAAAATTTTTAAAAGTGAAATTTAAAATAATTTTATTGTAAAAAAAATTAACTGACTTTGATAAGATAGATTCTATTTTTAATATTGAAACAGAGGCGTTTAAGGGTATTTAAATATAGACGCCTCTCATAGTATTGCATTTGGTGATATCTGCACCAACTTAGTACATACTAAGAATATACGTAATGGTGCATACAAGGTATGTTGAAATGTAGGATGGTTTTATAGTGCATAAATATAAACTGATTTTATGGTATATTAATGTATGATGTAAGGTCCCAGTTTTTAACTCAGACTCCACAGCCCTGCTTTTAACTAAGTCATGGAGTTTTGGTGTTTTAGCCGGAGTCGTCAAAAATTCCGCTGACCCCGACTCCTTTTTACTTACCAACTTGTTATGTATATAAAATGGAAAAGTATTGGAATCGTGTCAAATTTGACCCTTCAAGTTTTTTTTTTTTTTTTTTCAAATCTACACGTTTGGAGACCTTCCGAACCCCACAAAAAAGTCAATAAAGGGGAAAAATTCGCTCCCATGTGTGTTGGTGTCTAATTTGTTTAATTTCTTTATTTTCTGTTCTGAGATATTAAACAATATCTCAGAATGTGTAAAGTTTAAGAAACGAAATGTGGCACTGTAGCTTGTGTATAAAGGGGCATTAATACTATTAAATTTTGGTTCTTAATTAAAGGTTGACAGGGTGAAGACATAAAAGTGGTCATGTGCCATATCTCTTAATGAATATTTTACTCGTTATTAGCGTTCAAACTTTAAGAAAATAAAACTCATTTCTAGCTTCAAAGTAAGCTCTTTTGCCATTTTATAATAGTACAGTAAAACCCGTTAAGATGTTCTCGCCTAAGACGTTAGAACGTATATGTGGACGTGATTTAGTTCAACCACTTTGATGCTTAATAACTAACTCCTATGTTAAACCATCTGACTCCGATTTTGACCACTCTGACCACAAAAATTATTAGGCTTCAAACAGGGTGAACAAAATCATGCTCCCCACACACAGTCTAGCATACACACACATAGAAAAAGCCTCGAATCTTCTGCATATCTTGAAATTTCAGTGTCCCGAGTCCAAAAATGTAAAAATTTGGGAGGAGTCATTTTTTGACTGAGAGCTACACTTTTCCTCTGTTATATATAACAGCTGGAAAAGTAAAAATTATTGAATACATATTTATATATTACTTAGAGGAGTCTTTTAGCTTTGGAATAAAAAGTTTCTACACTCTATCTTTATTAGAACTCTATTTATTGAATGTTTTATTCTGAGGTCACGTGATGACATCAGAATTTATGGGTCTCTTTCGGTAACATGTCCACCCCTGGTCAGAGTTGGAGTCGGATAGTCAGGAAGAGTCGGAGTTGGAGTCGGTAGATTTTTACGCGACTCCACAGCCCTGGTTAAAAGTTAAAGTTTTATGGGGTTCTACTATACTTTATTGTATAGTATTTTAAGGTTCATATATATATTATATATATATATATATATAAGCTATATGTCTTCTTCTCTATTCAAGCTTTAGAGATATATAAGGCTTTCAATAAAGAAGAAGGAGACGATATGTAGCTATGTTAGCAATGCTAGATATGTTGGAATGAAAAGACTNGTTTTACTTAGGTTTTATGGTGTAGGTCTGGATGCACTGGTTTTTATGATATATAGGTTTAGTTATACATGGTTTTAACCTAGTTATAAGGGTTTTATATATATATATATATATATACAAGGTTTTATATTATATATAGGTTTTAATTTTATATAGGTATATATAGGTTTTATTACAGGTTTTTAAGGTGTCCCCTCCTGCTTGGGGAAGGCACAAGGTATTGCAGCAGTGCATATATGGAGTGCATAGCACTCTGTATTTGGGTGGTACATTTTATACCTGTAAGTGCATATCTACTGGTGTAACCTTTATGAGTATGGTGCATAAGGTCTAGTAGAAGGTGTTGCACTGTATTCAGTGGGATTTACTGGTATGCTTACGCAGATACAGCAAGAGATGGTGTGGTGGTACCACTGAGGATGAGATGTCTACTTTGCTATATTTATTTAAATTTTATAAATTTAAAAAAAATAATAATTTGTTGTTATTCTCCACATACAGAAATTTTTTTACATCAAATGCTCAAAATATTGGTTTCCTCAAATTTGTTAGAGAATTTTTTGTATATATATATTTTTTTAATATACTTTAATAATTTTTAAAATATAAAACATCTTTCTCACTTTTACAGCAAATTTTAATTTATGAACTTACAGTGCATAGAATAATAATTTTCAGTTTGGAACAAAATGATCAGCAAAAGACAAGAATGTTGTCATAGAATTAAAGATTATTGATGAATACAATTAAAATTTCTTTGATTTCTTTTTGTATTTTTTATATTTGTAAAATTTTTTTTGCCGTGAGAAATTACCAGAATAAATTCTTTTTAATACTTAGAACTCCATTTTAGTACCATCCATTGTATAGCTGTGTGTAGTAACAAATTGCTCTGTATTATTTTTTCTTGGTTTTGTTGACAAAGTACTCTCTTATATTTGATAATGTGTAACCTCAGTTAAATGGATCTTGGTTAATCAGGACACTTTTATAATTTTAATTTAATAGAATATAAGTTGTGTTGAATTATTTTATTATTATTTTTTTTTAAGAGCTGCTCTTTTAAATTTGAAGTTTCTTTTCATTATTATAAAAATCATAAAAATATTAATATGTAGTCTGCAATATCATTTTAAATGTTTATAACCTTTGTCATATCTGTTAGAAAAAGACTAGATTCTGATTTCGAGTATTTTTTGAATGTCTATATTTAATAACATAGAACTAAAATTTTAGCTTTATAAAATTAAATTTTATAAAAATTTTGCCTAACTAGATAATATGATCAGTAAGTATTAAAAAATATTAACTTGAGTATTTGTTCTATTACTTTCTAATGTACTTTTGAATTGATACAGATACGAATGGAAAACATTTTTTTGTGTGTGAAAATGATCTATAGATATGTTAGATTACACGGAAAGTTCTGTTTGTGTATTTCATGATACTTCTCAACAGTAATGTTTCTGACAATTTTAACAGGTATTTAAATAAACTAAGTGTTACAAAGAAGTGTTAAATATTAACATCTTTTAGATCATCGTTCAGAAAAAGTGCCATCAAAAAAATATTGATTAGTTTGTTTATTGCATATTTGTCATTAGCCATTAATTGTAAAAGAATAGCAAAAATTCTATGCAATTGGAAGACTGTGACAGAATATAAAAATTGTTAAAATAAATGTCTGTCTTAAAAATTAAAAAAAGACATTTTACTGTAATATCTATGTGACGTATCAGAAAGCATTAGTCGAATCACCAAAAACCTTAACACCAGCAGGAGTTTAATTTTTAATGTGGACGTGACAAATGTTTTAAACCTAATTATAGGTTGCTTCAGGTCAAACTTTTCACTCTGTTTTGGAATTTTAAGAAGAGCGATATAAAATTTCAAACTTTGGAATGAATGAAGAAGTTCAAAATCATGTTTGCTGTTTTTAGTACAAATATTTACATATTTAAATCAATGTTATGTAGATATTTATGAATTTATATTTATAACCTACATAAATTTATATAATAATCTGTTTAATAATCTTCATAAATATCTGTATAACATTGATTTAAATATGTGAATAGTTACACTAAGAACATGAAACATGATTTTGAACTTCACCATTATTCGTTCCAAAGTTTGAAATTTTATATCGCTCTTAAAATTCCAAAATAGAGTGAAAAGTTTGACCTGAAGCAGACTTAAAATAAGGTTTTTGGTGAGAAAACATTAAAGAAATACTTAATGTAATACTTAAATAGATGTATTACATTTCACATACTCGTATAAAAAAAGTATATAACATTAGGTTTAAAACAATACTTTTTATCCGGAAACTATCAAAACTGCTTGTATTTGTTAGTAAAACTGATTGTTTTACTAACAAATACAAGCAGTTTTGTTTGTTTTTATTTTTAAAATGTTTAATTATAAAAAATTTTGATAGTAGTAGTTGTTTATCAGTAGTCTTTCTTCTTGTTGTTGTTCAGACTTAAACATTCATACATCACATAGTTGGTTCAGAATGTTCAGCATGCCAGTAAATAATAATGGTTAAATATATATTTTAATTCTTATTTTTTCTTGGACAACTATAATTTAATAAATTTTTCACAAAAAATAAATAACTTCTATAAAAGTTTTGAAATTCAGCAGATAATAAGTTAACTAATTTAACGACTTGCGAGTATTAAAAAGTTTAATAAATTTAAATTAAGTTTTAGTCATGAGTAAAAACTATATTGAGTAGTATTTGAAATTCTTACATGTGTAAATTATACTACTAAAAAAAAGTTGATCCAGTTGTATATATTAATTTTAGAATGTAATCAAAATGGTTACACATTACCAAATTTGCATTTTTATGTCAAGGTAGAACAGAGTTCAAATCTTTTTCAAATAAATGTTTTTATAGTTGTATTAAAACTTTAATTAATTAATGATTAGTAAATTAGAATTATAGTTTTCAACAGATGACAGTATATTTATTGTAGTTTAGTTTCTTGAATCATTTTATCACTTAATTATAAGCTGGTAGATTTAGATGATTTCTGTGTTTAATTAATTCTCAGTTATGTTTAAAAGATAAACATTTGAATGTAATGTAAAAATTTTTACTTAAAATTTAAAACTTACAAAAAAAAACTGTTTATTTATATATAAATAGTGTAAAATTGTGTTTTTTGAATAGTAATAAGTTAGATATTTTATTGTACAAAGTTTAATTATTTTTTTGACAATTGAGAATTTAATTTAATTTAATTTTACATTTTTAGAATGTTAAATAAAACTAAGTATTGCAAAATTTTAAATAACTTAATGTTAATAGAAATGTTGTTAATAATTATAATATATAGGTTGGGGCTGCAGGAAGAAAAAGCCGCTTACTGTTAGCCATGTCCACAGCTACTGAATTCAGAGATCATCTTACAAATTTTAGTGAATTATATGCTTCTTTGGGTAAGATTTTTGTTTTATATTATTTATACTTGATGATTATTAATGGATTTTTTTAGTAAAGTTTATTATGATTTTTAATTATATGTAAAGTCAGGGTTTAAGCTGTTGCTAGTTTTTTGCTAAAGTGATACAAGAATTTAGATTTAGAGACAATTTTTTGGCATATTTTGCTAAAAAAAAAACTAAACTTTTCCAAGTAGTTAAAACATCTTAAAAATGTTAATTTTTAACTAGTGATGGGATGACACTAAAATTTCTCCCGATTCCAATTTTTTTGAATACTTTCTAAAGTTTATTTTAGTTTAGAAAAATTACTGATTTACATTACAAGCATTATGTATCTTCTATTGAAATATATTGAGTCTTCTAAATAGGTCAGTGAAGTGTTTTATTAAAATTTGAATAATTTCACTTATCGGAATCTTGTATTTTATATATTTCCTATAAGATTTTTTTTACTTTAAATATACAAAATTATTATATAAATTTGCACTGAAAAAAGGTTGATATGCAAATATAAATAGAACAAATTAATGCATATTAATAACTTTTAGAAAATGTAAAATAAATATGTTATTAATTTAATTGTCTTCTAAACTCTAAGCTAAAAAAAATAATTTAATACATAAAATAGCAAATATAGAAGATAAACAACATTTGACTGTTTCTGTAAGTCATTCACAAATTACTATTACACCCATTAATCTTGTATATTCGATTAATTAATTTGTATGTATTATAAACAAGTGTTTCTTTGCCTATCTAAAAAAGTAAATTGCAGTAATGAACATTAAAGAGAAGAGCAACAATCTTCTGTTGGATGATGGTTAAAAGTTTTTTGACTGTTTTCAAATTTTTAACTGAATAGAGAGGTTGAGGCGCACGTTTTAAACGTGTAAACGTGTACGTGTGACGTTCGGCGCCGCTTTCCCGTAAGCCTAAAAGTTTGACGATGGTGTTTGGGATGTCGAGCGTGATTCCACCGACTATCCAAACACCATTGTCAAACTTTTAGGCTTACGGGAAAGCGGCGCCGAACGTCACACGTACACGTTTACATGTTTAAAACGTGCGCTTCAACCTCTCTAATGAATCAAATATATTAATAAAATGTTTGTACTGTTTATATTCAAATCTTAATATCAGTTAGTATAAAATAATTGGATTCATAACTTTATATTACAACAATATACAGTCAAACCACCTTGATTTTTGAATGACTCATTTTTGAATAAATCTGTTCACAAACAGAATTTCAAACTTTCAATTGTCCTGGTTTCCATACAATAACTCTGTTGCTGAACAAGTTACTCTGCAAGAGCTGACCACAGATTAGAGAGAGACAGATGACCAACTCCTTATACTTCCTGTGTTAATGGCCCAACCAATCAATGACAGAACTACTGATTCAGAAGTTAGGCTAAGACTCCACTACCATAAAAACGGCGTAAAAACTCCTCGCTGTAAAAGCTTTTAATCGCGTGATCCTGATATTTTACACCTGAGCAGGTCGTAAAACCAGTGTAAAAGCGAGTTGAGCAGTGTTCAACTTTTGATGCCAATACGGCCGTAAAGAGGTACCTTCCACCAATCAGAAGTCAGTGAAATCTAGGTCATCGCGACACGGAGCTAAAATGGCGGAAAACGAGCTTTTGTGTACATTCCCTCATGGCTGCTCTAGAATAGATCCGGACGAATTTATCAAAAACATCCGAAAGTATTCCTGTATCTACGACAAGAGGTAACCTGATTATAATAATGGATACCAAAGGAAATCCTTCAATTTAGAGGAGTATATAATAAAAAAGCTAAGCTTATATGCTGTATATTATCTTAATAATACGATAATAAAAGTTAGTATATGATGAAAGTAAAGATATTATTTTTACTATATTTGTAATTATAGTACAGAAAAAACTCGTAGAATATAATCATTGTCTTTATATCGATATATCACATATACAACCGTCTTCCATTTCTACCAATTCATGTGCGAAGAAGTATTTACTTTCGACACTTGGGGCAGCACCATCGCCGTAAAAACTTTGCGCTAGCCGGACCTCCACCGTAATCCGAGCGCAAATGCAAATAGGTCACGTGATTAAAAGCTTTTACGGCGAGGGATTTTTACGGTAGTGGAGTCTTAGTCTTAGTGGCACTGAGATCGCCACATTGTTAGATGTCACAACACAAATCATTGATGATGTGGCTATTTAACTTAGATTTCAATGTGCATGTTGAAAAGATACTACTACTATTTTTCAGTATGTGCCACAGTTAAATTTAAATCAAATTAATTAATAAAAACTACATTAATTGACATTCACATAATGTAAATAGCATCCAAGAATTTGTGTTTAAAGGTGCTTAAGTGAAATTAAATAGCAAAAATTTATTATATATAATATAGTATTATATTATGTATAATATTACATTGCATTTGTAAGCATTTTTATGCATGAAAAACAGCTAAAAGGGCTTTATTTTGGGGGTCAGGAACAGATTAATCTGTTTTATATTGTTTCTTATAGGAAAATTTGTTTTGGCTTTAGAACAACTTTTAGAAATGAATTATGTTTGAAAACAGGTTTGACTGTATTATCAGATAATGTACTTTATTTGTAAATCGAAAATATATGTTTTGTAAATTAAAACAATATTTGACATCAAAATATAAAATGATTTTTTATAAGGAGCAAAACAAGTAACATTTTTAGGCAAATTCAAGTGTTATTAGCAAGTTTATGCACTGACATTTGTTGTTATAAAATGCTTTTTTTAAACATTATAACTTTAAAAAAATTATCTGTAAACCAGTCATAACATAATAAGTTTAAGCAAAGTCTTTCATTACAGAGTTTGCACATGACATATTTTATGTTATATTTATTGGACATTATAATTATAAACACTTAACGTTAGATGGCATTTGCACATCCAAACCATTACATTGTAAAAATATAATAAACATTGAAGTGTTTGCTTTGTTTTCAACTGGAGATATCAAAGATTATATTGTTACATTAACAATTAAATAACAACAGACTATAACTAAAACCAAGATTGCAAACACGTGCCAAATCAAAAACAATATGGCTGACAAACACCAAGTGCTTTCTTATGTGAGCTTGCATAATGATGACAATGGATTGATGTCAATAAAGGATCAAATATGATTGGTTTTGCAATTTTATAAAATAAACTTCTAATGTGAAACTTTTCTTATGCTTATACTGGACTGTACTGTACTGTACATTATGCATAAAGTTAGAACAGACATTTTTATAACAAAATATGTTGTGCACAAACTTTATATTATAAACCTATGTTATAATATACATTTATTGGTTCCATTATAACTTTATCAAAACAGTGATGTCACATTATCAAATGTAATGACTAAGATCAAGGAATATGATTTTCTGGCATCAAAAAACTTAAAATAATTTGTAAATTGTTCAATAGTGTTTGCGATGATACTTCAAACAATGAAAAAAAATTACAATAGGTGTGTGCATTCTGCATTATTTTAAGATAGAATAAGGCAAGAAACAGCTTGTCTATGCCATCTTTGTAGAATCCTGCTGGTTTCATATGGAATGAATTGACAACTTCTTTGTTAATGTCCTCAGTATCACTGAAATTTTTACCAGAATTTCTTTAATAGCCCAAAGATGTAATAGTTGCTGGGTGTGGTGAGATCAGGGCTGTATGGTAAAGATGTAAAATTTTCATATCTCACCTCTGGATTTTGCTGACAATTGCATTTGCGGTGTGAGGCTTTGCATTATCGTACAGAATGGTGATTTCATCTAATTTCTGATCCAGCCACTTGTGATGAATTCCTGCACATAGCCATGACAGAACATCACAATACTGTATATGGCAGTGTTGACAATGTTGCCTCATGACAGAAAATTTGCAAGAAATGGGCCTTTATTATCCAGAAGAATGTCAGCATGATCTTTCTGGCCTAGAGGGGGCAACATGGAACTTTTATGGTTTTGGTGACTTTCAGACCATGCTATGCTGTTTGGTCTCTGGTGTATTATGTTGAACCTTAGAACAATGTTTTTCAAACTATGGGTCGCAACCCAATATTGGGTTGTGTTAAAATTTTAATGAGTTGCAAAATGATACTACCTTCCACAGAAATACTTATAATACTTGTATTATTGAAATATCCTCTAAGAACTAAGAATAATACATGCATCTGTTAAGCACTGAAAATTTTAACTTTTTTTCTTATAATTGTTATTGTCATTTAGTAATAAAATTAAGATTATAGAATGTGTATATATGAAAATTGGTTTCACTTTTCTATTTTGAATAACATCAAAATAAATATTTTATGTAAAATTGTAGGCATAAAACTATTTAAGTTGCAATGGTTTTGGAAAATATTTCCTTATTTATTCAAACTATTTATTGTTATGTATGACAATATATAACAATAAATTTTAAAAAGTAAATAACAGATGAATTTTGGCACAAGTGGATCAATAAATGATTTTTGTGTATACAGTACACCCCCTATAACGCTTAGGTACGTTCCACGTTATTCGAATTTTGCGTTGTAGGAATCATTAAATACATGAGCCAATCGCAGCCCGACACATGTGAAGCTTATGGACTAAGGCTGTTTGAAAGGTTTTCTTCTATAAAATTAACCGATTCTAGACTAATTCGACTCAACATTTCCAAAACACGTATAATTTTTTGGGAATAATCTGTATAAACTATGCTATAAACAAAAAATTGTAGGATTACTTACCGAGTGTGCACCGTTCGACTGCGCCGTTGCTCAAGCTTGTTTTCGTCGCGGAACAGCACACGAAACAGCGGCCGCGATTTCTGTTAACGAATTTTTCACAGAAAAATAACTTGACCTTTGGAGACATCATTAATATAAATAATTTTTATGGCCGTTGAATAAGAAGTGTTTCTTTCACAAGAAATGTATAAAATTAGTGCTGTATTAGACTTACGGTACCTAATTT